TCACTGAGTGCCATGTAGTGACAGTATATGCCATACAGGGGGTACACAGCATGTGCCAAGCCTGTTGGGGAGTGCTCCAGTGGATTCTGAAGGTGGCAGCTGGTTGATTTCTTTCATTCACTTGGTAGCTGAAGTAAGGAGGATCAGCTAAAGGCCTTCTAAAAGTTGTTGTGGAGCACTTGACCAGCATAATTTTTCACATGACCCGTAGGATCAGCTCCCCTGCCATGGTTAACTTATTGCCCTGCTGCTCTGAAGGTGACTGAAGGTCCTTTCAACAAGGAGAAATTTTCAGCAGCCAAGTGGGATGTAGCTGGCACATATTGGTCACCTCTGCCTTCTCCCACACCATGCAGAGTGACTGAGAGAGGAGTGATGGAACGTGTTTGGGAAGGTGTTTCTGCAGGACTTGGTGATCTTAAAGGTCTTTTCCAACCTAAATGATTCTATGATACGGAGGAGATGGGTTTTTCTTAACCAAAGCTGATGAAAGCGTCACCTTGAGACCACGACAGCTGTTGTGTCTATGATACAGAGGAGATGGGTTTTTCTTAACCAAAGCTGATGAAAGCGTCACCTTGAGACCACGACAGCTGTTGTAAATGCCAGTTAGTCCTTTCCCTGCTGTAAATCATGGATGCTGTCTTCCCTATGGCCAAGCTTAAAAATAAGATTATAGACCATGTCTCTTCCTCAGCTCACCTGAAAGTGTGCTTGATGCCAGGGAACTCAGCTCGAATCGTCTTTTTTTTTTTTCCATTTTTTTGGCATTATTTAAAAACAAACAAGTGGATTAGAGGCTGGTCACTCAGCGTACTCCCTGCCATCCTTCATTCCCCAGCTGACTTGGACTCGGTGAGCTGGAACAGCCCTTCACCTCTGCAGAGCTGCCCAGCTTTGTCGCAAGCCGTTGAAAGCGCGGTTGCGATCCTTTCTCTGTGACCGTGGTGACTGACCACCCCGAGGGTGCTGTGTGCAGGTCCTGAAACATGGCAGAATGTCTCTCGGTCCTCTCAATGAGACAGACAGTTGTCTAAATTAGTGCACAAGAAGCCAAAAAAACACACCAGTCAGTACAGTTAAATTCCAAACACGCTGCCGTTTTCTGTGTTTTTAAGCTAACAGTGACAGGATTCCAGCTGCCACGGAGGACGAAGAGTGTCTGTTGCCTGTTCAAATCCATGTTTATCCTTAATCTTACAGATTATCTGATAAATGTGATGGATGCCCTCGGCCTTCAGCCATCGAGAACGCTGCAGAATATTGTAACTCTGTTGAAGGCAAAACCAGAGGATTACCGGCAAGCGGCAAAAAGCGTGCCCCGCAGGATGGCCAGCAGCATCGCGGCAATGAGGGGCCTGGAGTGTTAGCTGTGACATCCCTGCTGCTGGACACTGCTTGGGAGCTGAACTCTTTGGGTTGGCTTTATTTCCCTATAAATTTTGCAAGGACAGTGAAGATGTCTCTGGGGTTTAGGGGAATTTATTTCTCAATAATTTTTAATAAATATCTTTGTCTAGGAAAAGCTTGTCCCGTTTTTCCATCTTTAGAAGTGAGGAAAGATGTCCTACACCAAATTTACCAAAAACTATCCGGATGACCTTGAGTTGGCTGGCTTCTGACAGGAAATGTTCTGCTGGTTGTTGAGGAGTTCATGCTTCACGGCAGTGAGATGACTGTCTTTTTCAGAAAATTTAATCAATTCTGAATCTAAAATTATGGGGTAGGTGCAACAAAGATCGACTGATTGGAAGCTCTCTTACCTGGAGGCAATCGTTATCGCTCAAGTCTGTCATTATTCACAAAGTCAAGAAGAGAGTCTCATCAATTAGTAGATGAGGCATGATCAAGCTCAGCCCTGAGAATAAAACCAGTTTTGTAGGTTGTTCCTTGTGCGATTAATGTATTCTACTGAAAGCTATGAGGTTTATAAGAAATTTAATGAAACTGTTGTTTTCTTGTAAATTTATTAAAGCTTTGTATATAGATCTTGTAAAACAGGTCGTTCAGCCAGAGTGTGCTTCCAGCACTCCCACAGCCTGCTCCCTAGGAGAAAACTGGACAAAATATAAAGAGGGCCCAAAACTGGAATGCCAAAACTCTTCTGTTTTGGAAGGGGAAAAAACATCTTTCTTCCCCTTTTCTCTACCTACTTCTGCAGTTTTCTCCTCTTTGCCCCTTTCTGCGCACACAGTTACCTGCAATCTGTCCCTTTGGGGGATAGAGCCAAGCCAGTGAAGAGCTGCAGTCAAGCACTGGAGACACTTTCCAGACACTTTTATTACTTGTCAGACGCCCTCTATAAACCGGCAGTAACTGGAATAGTAAACTGTCCGTGTCCTGCCAAAGAACATGCTGTTCCACCTTACCCTCGGTGCGAGACGGGTGAATCTCACTGTCTGTGCCTCTCCCATCCTTCCCCTGCCTCGTCACTAGAAGGTGAGGATTTTTTGTGCTGTTCTTTGCCTGCTGCTGCTGCGTCTCCGAGGGCGAATGGCCCCTGGGGAAGGAACCCAGCTTGGAGCAGGTGGTGTAAGAAACTGGAAGGCATAGGCTGCCCGAGACCTGCCGTTGCCCTTTCTGTCCCTTAACAGCTCTATGGCAGCAGACACCGGAACCCACCCCAGGGTTTGGAGTAGGAAAATGAAAGGGCTTGGAGAAACCCTTGGAAACCCTTGGAGAGGGCTGGGTTGGGAAAACAGCTCTGCCTTCCCCCTCTCTCCACAGCCTGTCTCATCACAGCGAGTTCCTTGCTGTTTCATCAGCACAAGGAACAGGCTCAGGGTGGCTGTTTTGCCACACAGAAAAGCATCCCATGGCTCTGCAGTATCTCTGTGTTTGAACAGCTATTTGGGTTCCTGCACAACCGGACTTATTGCTGGTGATGTTGACAGTGGTGTCTGATGGTGAGAACGTGGGAATAGAGGCCCAGGTTTTTGTTCTCAGCTTTCCTAGTGTTTTAAGCAATTGCTCTATTGTGTCTTTTGCAGGGAGCAGTGTGTTTTCACTGTTGTGAAATCCTTTGGAGGTCTTTGTCAAGAGAAGTGTTAGCTTTCGTGCACACGTTGAACGGGGAGGGGATGGTGTCAGGTGCTCGTTCCCAACTGCTGCAATGTGGGATGAGGTGCTGTCACTTGACAAGAATTCTCCTCTTTTTGGTAGAGGGGGCTGTGCTGAGGTTTTGTGATGCTCAGGGAGGGAATCACCCCTTTAGGAAGAAGCGAAGTGAGGAATCGGGCAGGAAAAGCCTAGGACAACTTGTAAGAGCTGGATTCCTCTGTCTTTACGAGCATCCTGACTGCCTTTCGTCTGCCCTGTCACTGCTCGGGTTGGTTTGAGGTGCTTGCTGAGCTCCTGCCGTACCCAGGGTTAGATGGTTTCCTTCCAGAGCAGCGTCTTCCTGGGCTGTTGGTTGTTTGCTCTTGCAAACGAGAACCAGCTGATGGATAAGGAGCTGGGGGCAGCATGTGGCTTGTTCAGAAGCTGCTCCATGAATCTGAATTTTTATTCCATATTACTTTAAATTTAGGTATTCTCTGGCTGCAGATGACTGTAAATTACCCCTCTTTTTCTACTCATCCCAATCAAAATGTGATTTCCAAAGCTATTTCCTTATTTAAGAATCTGAATTTCCTTTCAAAAATGTGGTTAAGCTTCTCGTTCTTATGATCACCAAGTGAAATTGGAAAATGTCTGTAAAAACTCAGGTATCAGAAATAATAGAAGACCAAAACTTAAATTGTCATTACTTTTGTAGCCAATCATAAAATTTTTAAAAAATCATGAATCAAGTCATAAAATTAAGGCTGCAGATATTCTAGTGTTATTATCTCGCAGCTACTGCGGCAGCGTTAGAGCAGCTCCATGCTGGTCACTGAGGGTTTGACTTTTTTAGTGAGTTTTGAACACAAAAGTCCCCCTGCATGGGGCAGCATCAGTCGTGCTGGTGGCGTCTCATCCGGCAGATCATCCCCCAGTTCCTTGGTCCTTCTCATGGTGGTCACCAGCAACTAGACTCAACGCTTCCACCACCGCTGAGGAGAGATGGAGAGACCCTCAGCACGCTCTGCCCTGGAGCACCATGCCCTTGGGGGGACCTTCAAGGGGAGAAGAAGGAGTGGGGACCCCCCTCGCTGCCGCGGCTGCCCCGTGCTCACACCACGCTGGGCCCCGTGCCCAGAACATCGTGTTCCCGGTCGCGTGATTGAACCACACGATCGTGTTTCCTCTTGAAGTTTTGCAAAAGTACTTCACTAAGGCAGGTCTGCGTGGGTTGTGATGGGCTCCTGGGAAAGCTGGGGGCCAGGACTGGCCCAGGTGGGTGAGCTCACTGCATCACTCAACCCAGCCCCATGGGGACCACCGAATCCCCCCCACTACCTGCCCCTATGTTGGGGTGAGCACAGCACCTCCTCCTCCTCACAAGCTGCCATCAGCCTCTCGCCAGCGCTGAACTGCACCTGCTGCCAACAGGAAACTTAAGAGGCAACTTTTAAATTTATTTATTGCCACGTGTGGTACTGTTGAATGGCCGGGCACTTCCTCCACACCTGAGTCTCTATGGAGGCTGGAGTATTTCTCTCTGGCACATTAACAGCCGTGCCCACCTGCGGCGTGAGCCTTACCAAACCCTCAGCAGCGAAGACAAACAGAGCAGCCAGGGCTCCAGAAGGAAAGGAACGGTTTTCTTTCACTCTTTTTCCATTGTAGTTGATTAGGGGAGGGACTACTGTGACCTCAGAAGTCAAAAGTAGCTTGGGTCCGACCCTCGGTGCAGCACACGCCGTGCCGTGTCTCAGCACCCACCCTCAGGATGCCCTGGCCTCTCCCCACCACCACCTGCCAGCGTGGCCACTGCCCTCCCTCGGACCCCGGCCACAGCCCTCTGTGGTTGCCACCACCCCACTCTTCTCACTGAGAAGTGCTTTCCCACCCACGCGTTGAACAGAGATGGTGACCAATGCTAACACAGCACTATTGACATACACAAACTCTGCGACTAAAGCCACAGCCTGACTTCATGAGGTTTATTACAGGGTTTATTAGACAGAGCTTCTTCACAGTGGAGAGTCGGGGAGGGAGGACAGCCAGGGATTCTTTGTTCCTTCCTAATTTTGACACTATAAAGTGGCTCAGGAAGTGCCAAACTGAGCACGGTGATGGCAGCCATTGGGCTCACTCGGTTTCTGCGTCGCTGTCGGGACCGAGGATGTCGAGGGGCTGGACACGCAGCGAGTCGTAGTTGGGCGGGGGGGTGCCGGGCTCGGGGGGCAGCGCCTCATCCCTGGGGAGGCCCCCTCCATCCTCGTGCTGGAAGCCCAGGTTGGTGTGAGCCTCCACCAGCTCCGACACCGTCGGGGGCGCATCGGGGTACCGTGCCTGTGCCCGCTTCTGCTTCAGGCCTTTGCACCAGCTGATCACGTTAATAATGGTGATCCACAGCGAGTCGATGATGATTTCCCCAAACTCAATGAGGCACAGCACTGAGCCCCCCATCCAGAACCCAAACTGGCCTCCCAGGCTCGACAGCAGCCAGACGATCTGTGGGGAGAAGGGCAGAGTGAGCCGGGGTGGTGGAGCCCGGTCCCTGATCAGCCCCCAGGGATCGCCCCGTCTGCTGGAGCTTGGTGCTGCCCCTGGGACCTGCCATGGGGTGCTCCCTGGTGCTGCTTCTCAGTGACCTGCCCCGCACTGGCAATTTAGGGATGGGAGGTGGCACTCACCGTCGTGGCGGCAGACTCTGAGATGGTGCGGTAGTTGTACTCCTGGAAGTAGATGTTCAGCTTGATGATCCCGTTTCTGTAAGGGAGAGATGGCAGCTCAGCACAGGGACCGACAGGCCACAGGCACCCCGTGCCTCTGCTCCCAGGGCTGCCCACAGCAAGGGCTGGCACAGCCTGGCCAGAGCTGCTCACGGGTGTCCCCTCAAACTTCTGCCGGGCACGTGGAAGAACTTAAAAAGTGCCACTGGCTGCAAAGGGGAGAGATCCAGTTCTGAAGTTCTTCCTGAAGAAGCACTTGGGCACCTGGAAGCTTCTTTGGAGCTGTTTGCTTTTTTTTTTCCCAACTGCCCTGGTGGGTCTAGAGGGGCCATCACCCCTCCTTGGTGCTCTGCACCTCATGTTCCTGGGTGCACACACACAATGGCTGCGTCACAACAGACCACGTTACAGGAGGCTTAATGTGTACAGGTCAGCCAATAGCTGTGAAACCGTTTCCTGCTTCTGTAGGCTTTGCTTTTCCTTGGGGAAAAAACCCTCCTCTTTTTCCCCTAATTCAGGGTTTAGGTTCTCAGCAGTTACCCTAATTTTTGTGCCCCCCCCCTGCTGCCGCTGCTGTTGGCAGATTCAGAGAAGTATGAAGGGATGAACGTTACAATCCAGGAGCTGGACCCTGGCAGTTCATAGCTCAAGAGCTTTCAGGCTCCTACACGTAACCGATTCGAGGGGCTGCAGTTGATGTCGATTTTAACTTAACTGCATGTTTGAGTTTGTCTGACCCAGTTTGTCACTCTGGAGAGCAGAGGATATGCATGAAGTGCATACCATGTTTGTTTTATGTATCTTCCAGGGAAACATGCACCAAATCTTGTCCTTCCTTTGGATTAGCACACGTGTGCTCTGGCCCATCGCCAGGGTTCATGTTAATCTAATGTTAACAGGCTCAATAGAGGAGATAAAGTGGTTGTTCCTTTCTCTTACCTGTCCAGAGTCACATTTGTTGACATATCCCTTTCATAAGACAGAATATGGAAAATCCAGTCCTGGGAAAACAAAATTTATTCAGAACCAAGCAGAAGCATCCTCTCTGGGTACCAGCTGGGGCAGGAACCCAAGGGAGTTACAAGGGAGATGCAGGTGTTGGTGCAAGACCCCTGGAGAGGAGACACCACTGTGGAGATGTCCCTCCTCCTGTCCTCGGGCACCAGTGTTTGTTTGAAAATGTGTAATTTAGCGAAGAGGCACTTGCTACCTGGACATTAGCTCTGAAAATACCGGGTGATTCACATGGCTAAGAACAGGTAGTTACTAATGAATGTTTCAAAACAAGAAATCAGTGTTACCTCCGAAGCTTCCGAGGGCCAGTCTGCCATGGAGATGGTCATCTTATACTGCGTGTCGCTGGAGAGAGGAAAGGAGAGCGTTGGTACAGAAGTTTCCCCTCCTCTGAAGTCACTGGAACTTCAGTTCTCATGCAGAAAAGCAGCCCCGTGTGATTTGCTGCCATTTCAGAAAGGTCAGACTTGATGGGAGACGAAAGGCAGGATCCCCTCCACCTTTACAGCTGCCAGAAATGCCGCAGGTACTTACTTGCATGTTTCCTTACAAGAGTCAATACAAATCTGCCTGTGTCTTATACTTGATCTCAGCGATGAATAGCAATATGCTGTTTGGCAAAAACAAAAAAATCAAAGCATCTGTTTAGATGCTTGCTGGATTATATTGATTTCATTTAATAAAATAAATACTTAGGTATAAGCCTGCTCCACAGGTTTGCTCTCTCCCCCTCTAACCTTTCTCTCCTTGAGAAACTCAGGCAAAGTGGCCAGAGAATTTAATAATAAATTAAAAATTCATTTTAATTTCCCTCAGGCAGTTTCTATAGAGTCACCTTGCCTGGTGTCAGTGTTTTTGGCACAGCCCTGCCCAGCTGCAGGGGCAGGAGGGTGGCTGCTGCTGGAGCTGCCTGTGCAGAACCATGCTGTGCCCTCTGCTCGCCCGGGGAACACCATCATCCCCCACCATGCTCATCCTCACGGGAGCTTCTGCTCCGGCCAGCTTGTCTCTAAACTCTTCAGGCACGGAGGCCTGGAGCATCTCCCCTTTTTATCTTCCTTTAATACCCAGAGGCTCCCGTTGCCTTCCCCGGCTGGAGGCAGCCGTCCTGGAGAGACCTGCCCTGGGGCAGTGCAGAAGCTGAGGCCCCTCGGCCTGTGGCCAGGACCAATATTTCACCCCTTCTCCCCAACAATGACCCCAACGGCCATGGGGAGTCCGTGCACAGGCCAAAAACCATTCGCCTGTTGCATTGCCTTCCCCGGCTGGAGGCAGCCATCCTGGAGAGACCAGTGCGGAAGCTGAGGCCCCTCGGCCCATGGCCAGGACCAATATTTCACCCCGTCTCCCCAGCAATGACCCCAATGGCCACGGGGAGTCTGTGCACAGGCCAAAAACCATTCGCCTGTTGCATTTACAATGGCACCAAAGCTCATGTCTGCTCCCGCCCCTCCTGCCTGCCAGGACCCCAGGAAGGGGCTGCAATGAGTGGTGTTCATGTTCTTACCCCAACCTGGGTTATCTTCGTTATTGCAATAATTTACCCCTTCAGGTAAAGGAAACATATAGTGACCGCATCCACAGATTTCAATCATGTGATTTTGGAAACAAGAGCGCAGGCAAGCCTGAAAAAGGGAAGAGGGAGCTGCTTAGACGTGGGCTGAACCCCCCCTGCCTGTATCTGTGCTGCCAGAGTCCACGCTGGCTATGAGAATTACTCGGCTCCAAGGTATTTTCTCTCTTTAGCATTGAACTGAGGATTTTGTGGCTGCTCACAGAGAAGGCTGAAGCCACAGAGGGAGTGGGTGCTGCCAGAGCCCATCCCTATGGGATGGTGTCATCCCATCCCATCCCATCCCTGCACGAGGGCATGATCCCATCCTCTGGTGTGCATCAAGCATCCCAGGTAACACTGCTGGCTCTGGAAGCCCAGCACAAGTCACACTGACTTCACAACAGTGAGAGGAGGCGGGTGGATAAGCTGCTGCGTGTGGAGATGCACAGCAGTTAGGGTTTTCTTTATGATGCATTTTTAATGCTGCTCTTCCAGATTTTAAGGTACATCCCAGTTGTGAGCTGCCTGTGGGTAAGTCATCTCGCAGGAGCAGAAGGGAACTCAGTCCCTGCTCCCAGTCGCACAAGAAATTGCTCATTTCTTAACAATTTAGGGCTTCGTGGAAGTAATACTAAGTTTCCAAAAAGGAATAAAAATGTTCTTTTACACCCATAGAAGCTGCTGTTGTCTCCAGGCTTTTATGGCATACCAAAAAAGGCTTGGTTTCCACTTTAAAGCTGGGACTCTCAAAATACTTCAACATAAAGAGCAGGTTTTAGAAATCTGAATTATCCTATTTGTGCATCTGCTTCTCTCCTTGAAAGGGTTGCAGCCGCAGCTTCGGCAGCCTGCGAGCCGGGCTGCAGCGCTGCCATTAGCTCAGCCAGGCATGAAGTTAATCATCTGAGATTGGAGTGGGATTCTGGATGAACCAGTGCACAAAGCAATAACAAAGTCTATGAAAAGATAATTAAATTTAACAGCTCCAGCTAGGTAGAACAACCAGAGAATTTCTGTGTGATACAAAACGCTTACAGAGTTCACTGCAATCAGGGAGGGAGGGAAAAGCCTGATTTTGCTGAGAGGTCTCTGAAGTGACGTGAATTATGTGGACATAGAACCCCGGTCAGCATTTAGCAACTTTTAAGATATAATGCAATCATTTCAAGTATTTGCTGAAACGTTATACAAGCACCTTAAAAAGTAGGGTAAAGTAGTTCAATTGTTATCATTATATAAAGGCAGAAATATAAAAAAACCACTGCTAAGACCAAAGCCCTCCCGCTTGTCTGGGGTGTACTCTTCAGGCTTTTGGAAATAACCCCCAAAACGGTTTTGATGTTTTCCTTATTGCCAGATCTCACCCTCCAGAAATGCATCTCCCTTATGGTATAGCCTGTTACAAATTAATTAGTGCTTAATGTTTATACTGTATTTTTTTACAGATTCAAGGTTTACACACACTCAACTTTCTCATCCCAATTTTAAAGTGAAGAAAAGGCAAAGGTCTGGCTTCATTTCCTATGCAAAGCAGACAGGCATTTTCAGGGTGAAAAAATGACTTAAAGAGAAAAGGATTAAAAAGAGGAGTGTTCAGGAGAGGAAACCCTCCTGTATCTTCCTCTCCTGTCAGGGATAAATATTACTTGTGTACACAAAATACAAGCTGCTTTCCAAACCTGGGGCTACTGAGTGTTCAGACTCGAGTGCTGATTTATTACCAGAAAAGAAGGTTCCTGTACTTGGGTTATGCATTTACAATGGCACCAAAGCTCATGTCTGCTCCCGCCCCTCCTGCCTGCCAGGACCCCAGGAAGGGGCTGCAATGAGTGGTGTTCATGTTCTTACCCCAACCTGGGTTATCTTCGTTATTGCAATAATTTACCCCTTCAGGTAAAGGAAACATATAGTGACCGCATCCACAGATTTCAATCATGTGATTTTGGAAACAAGAGCGCAGGCAAGCCTGAAAAAGGGAAGAGGGAGCTGCTTAGACGTGGGCTGAACCCCCCCTGCCTGTATCTGTGCTGCCAGAGTCCACGCTGGCTATGAGAATTACTCGGCTCCAAGGTATTTTCTCTCTTTAGCATTGAACTGAGGATTTTGTGGCTGCTCACAGAGAAGGCTGAAGCCACAGAGGGAGTGGGTGCTGCCAGAGCCCATCCCTATGGGATGGTGTCATCCCATCCCATCCCATCCCTGCACGAGGGCATGATCCCATCCTCTGGTGTGCATCAAGCATCCCAGGTAACACTGCTGGCTCTGGAAGCCCAGCACAAGTCACACTGACTTCACAACAGTGAGAGGAGGCGGGTGGATAAGCTGCTGCGTGTGGAGATGCACAGCAGTTAGGGTTTTCTTTATGATGCATTTTTAATGCTGCTCTTCCAGATTTTAAGGTACATCCCAGTTGTGAGCTGCCTGTGGGTAAGTCATCTCGCAGGAGCAGAAGGGAACTCAGTCCCTGCTCCCAGTCGCACAAGAAATTGCTCATTTCTTAACAATTTAGGGCTTCGTGGAAGTAATACTAAGTTTCCAAAAAGGAATAAAAATGTTCTTTTACACCCATAGAAGCTGCTGTTGTCTCCAGGCTTTTATGGCATACCAAAAAAGGCTTGGTTTCCACTTTAAAGCTGGGACTCTCAAAATACTTCAACATAAAGAGCAGGTTTTAGAAATCTGAATTATCCTATTTGTGCATCTGCTTCTCTCCTTGAAAGGGTTGCAGCCGCAGCTTCGGCAGCCTGCGAGCCGGGCTGCAGCGCTGCCATTAGCTCAGCCAGGCATGAAGTTAATCATCTGAGATTGGAGTGGGATTCTGGATGAACCAGTGCACAAAGCAATAACAAAGTCTATGAAAAGATAATTAAATTTAACAGCTCCAGCTAGGTAGAACAACCAGAGAATTTCTGTGTGATACAAAACGCTTACAGAGTTCACTGCAATCAGGGAGGGAGGGAAAAGCCTGATTTTGCTGAGAGGTCTCTGAAGTGACGTGAATTATGTGGACATAGAACCCCGGTCAGCATTTAGCAACTTTTAAGATATAATGCAATCATTTCAAGTATTTGCTGAAACGTTATACAAGCACCTTAAAAAGTAGGGTAAAGTAGTTCAATTGTTATCATTATATAAAGGCAGAAATATAAAAAAACCACTGCTAAGACCAAAGCCCTCCCGCTTGTCTGGGGTGTACTCTTCAGGCTTTTGGAAATAACCCCCAAAACGGTTTTGATGTTTTCCTTATTGCCAGATCCCTCCAGAAATGCATCTCCCTTATGGTATAGCCTTACAAATTAATTAGTGCTTAATGTTTACACTGTATTTTTTTACAAATTCAAGGTTTACACACACTCAACTTTCTCAGTTACAAATTAATTAGTGCTTAATGTTTATACTGTATTTTTTTACAGATTCAAGGTTTACACACACTCAACTTTCTCATCCCAATTTTAAAGTGAAGAAAAGGCAAAGGTCTGGCTTCATTTCCTATGCAAAGCAGGCAGGCATTTTGAGGGTGAAAAAATGACTTAAAGAGAAAAGGATTAAAAAGAGGAGTGTTCAGGAGAGGAAACCCTCCTGTATCTTCCTCTCCTGTCAGGGATAAATATTACTTGTGTACACAAAATACAAGCTGCTTTCCAAACCTGGGGCTACTGAGTGTTCAGACTCGAGTGCTGATTTATTACCAGAAAAGAAGGTTCCTGTACTTGGGTTATGCTTTCTACTTCATCACTGCTGATGCTCCGGTAATCCTGCACGCTAGTCAAAGATTTTAACTGCCTTGATGATGTTTCCTAAACATCCTTGTTTGATTTAAAAAAAAAAAAAAAAAAGGTGTTTTACCTGTATGGAATAGGAAGTATTATATTGGCTGTAGAGGTTTTTCACGGGGACATCAGACCCGTTCATGGTGCAGTCGCTGTAGGGATAGCCCATCCGTTCCAGTTCATCCTGAAAGGAAACCAGAATAGCAAACTTCATTAGCTAATGCTCTTCCCCAGGTCCCTGGTGCCTGTTTTCTAGAGACTCCGTAATTCCTGTATTCCCTGCTGGCTTTGAAAAAAAAAATTGAATCACAGGCTGCAGAGCTGAATGAGATGCAGCCCCTTCCCCAGGGCCGGATGGTGGCAGATGAGGGTGTTGAAGAGCAGTATGTTTTAGCAAGGCACCTTCTGACATGCTAAAGGAAGAGAGAACAAAGAGAGAACAATGACCCGAGCTCAATATTTTGGCTTCAATAAAGCACTTTGCCAGGACAGTTACATAAAAGTCTCCATAAACTGTTCCAGCCCGCAGCTAGCGTTTACCTCGACTCTTTTGGTTTGAGCCAGTTCAGCCAAGACTTAAAACAAACTTGGTTGCGGTCCCATCAGATAACATTATTCTCAGACAATCTGCTCTAGAGGAATGCCACACATACCACCAACACGCCGATGGAGGTTTCCGTCCCGGCCATTGCATAGATACCCTGATCCTTAAGGAAGGGGAAGCTCTTCTGTTGATGCAGCATGAGCCTGGCCCCAGCAGCAGATGACAGGTAGGGGATGTAGTCCTGCTGGCTGATGTCCAGAATTAACTTCAGCCCTGGAAGACCAGAAAAAACCACTCAGAACAGGAATTGTATCGAAATGCGACTCTTTGGATAAAAAGTTGAGTCTATTCTCTTCTCTCTATGCACAGAAACCTCTGTTCCTTGAGGAAGGTCTGGCTGTCACAGCAGCCTTGCATGTGTGTGAACACACACGGTGGCGAATGCACAGGATGGGAATATCTGATTGAATATTCACACATTGCCTCAGATATTTCAGCTATCCAGATGTTGCACTTCTGCAAAATAACCTCTGGAGTCACGTTACTTGTTTCTATGTGGCACATTTCCCTTTCGGGGGTTTATCCGCTCCTGGAAAGGGTACTCCCTGCTGTAGTGCTCCCAAGACACAGAAACTATAAATCTGTTATATCTGACAGAAACGGCTACTGAGAGACAGAATAATTCCCAGCGCTTCTGCTCCTGGAGCTCCTTCCTCCTCCGCAGAGCTCTCACTCACCAAACTCGGCTCCAGGGTTGGAAGAATTCAAAGCCTCTTCATCCATGCCCCAGTTAAAGATGTAGCAGTTACCGTGGTCTGGGTGATAGATTTGAGTGAAATTCCTGGAAGAATCAAGCACATAAAAATGTGACTCTCAGGCAGGACTAAAGGGTTATGAAAGAATTACTCTGGTGGGACTGGTGCTTGGTGGGTAAGTCTGGGATTCACTTAAAATTGCTTCGCCTGTTGAATGCCTGTATAGAAATTTCAGCTGACATAATTTCAATCAATCTGCTGTTGGAAAAAAAAAAAGCTAAGCAAGGTAGTGCTGTGTGCTGAGACACAGCCACTGGGGACAGCGCTTTGTCGGAATGGAAAGGAATCATCTGTCACACAGATGAGACAGAAATAATTGCTTGATCTGAGCTGTGGTAACAGGTTTTGGCTGGTGTTATATCTCGTTCTTTGATAATAATTTCTCTGTTGCTCTCTTAGCAGACGGGGCAGCCCGGGGTGCTGCTGCGCACTCATGTTTCTCAAAACTGGGTATATAAATTTAGAGATCACAAGAAATAACGATGGCTAAAATGCATTTCTCAGAGTCTTGTGTAAAAAGGGGGGAGGAGGGGGTTGTAACTGGGGGCTGCACTGCTGTGCTGGGGTACCCTGACACAGCACCTTGGGCTGGCAGCTGGTTATCACTAAATCCCATGGGAAGGTCCCAAGGATGCTCTTTCTCTCAGAATCACAGAATCACAGAATTATCTAGGTTGGAAGAGACCCTCGGGATCATCAAGTCCAGCCATCTACCCTACTCTAAAGTTCTCCCCTACACCATATCCCCCAACACCACATCTAAATGGTTCTTAAACACAGCCAGGGATGGTGACTCAATCACCTCCCTGGGCAGCCTATTCCAATGCCCGACCACTCTCTCCGTGAAGAATTGTTTCCTATGTCCAGTCTAAACCTACCCTGGCGCAACTTGAAGCCATTACCCCTTGTCCTGTCATCTGTAACTTGGGAGAAGAGACCAACCTCCGCCTCTCTACACCCTCCTTTCAGGTAGTTGTAGAGAGGAATGTCGATATGTCATGAGCAAAACGGCCCAGCCAAAACTAAAACTCAAGCCAGCACTATCCCAACATAACCCGTTTCATCCATGATCACATCCAGAAACCCTCTGGGAAATGTTAAAGATCAGCAGAAATCTCTTTATTAACTGATATATACCTTAAAAAGAGAAAAGAGAAAAGGCTGTGATGCCTCGAGCACCCTGTACTGTTCCTGATGGGATAGAAAAGGGCAGGGAGCTCGGTATGTACCTACTTGTAGTTGCAGGGTTCGGCCCCATAGAGACACGCCAGGATCATGTCTTCTGCCTGGTAGCCCATCCTGATTCTCTCTTGCAGCGGGACCTTGGAGAGGATGCTGGTGGACTGCAGGATGTACCACTCGGTCACCGCCTGCGCCGCGCTGGTGAAGTTCCTGTAGGTGCAGTTGTCGGAGCCCTGATGGCTGCACTGGGGACACACAGCAGGTGGGTCTGAGCCCGTCCTGTGGGGGGGGACCACAGGAGGGACATACGGTGTGCACCCCCTCTCCCCCTGTGGGCTCGGCTTGGTGCCAGCCCTGCCTGCTGCTCCCGGGGGAATGAAGGAGGTAGGGCCAGATGGGACCTGCAGAGCCAGCTGTCACATCTGGATGTGCTTGCAGATGGGTCCCTCTCCAGGGAGATTTCCCAGCTGGGCAGATTTTCCATCGGTCCTTAAGCTTACAGAAAATGCCACTTTTTGGCCAATTCTTTAAGGCTGGAGTTGCCCCAGCTTCCAAGGTCTGCTCAGGCAGGGTCTTTGAAGCCTCTGTGTGGGGTTATGAGACCACCACGTGCCTCTGCACTGAGGACCATGACAGGAAAGGGGCAGGGGCAGCAGCCACAGTCTCTCCTCAGAATTTTGGGTGCTGGACCCAAGGAAAAGGTGAAGGGGACAAGGAGCCTGTGTGGAGCACCTCTGCCCTGGCTGCGTTGGAGAACCCCAGAGGATGTACAGCATTGTCCTCTGCTCTGCGGGCAGACTCCACTGACCAACGCTGTACACAGCTTGGTTACTGCCCACTGCCATCCAGTCGATATGTCATGAGCAAAACGGCCCAGCCAAAACTAAAACTCAAGCCAGCACTATCCCAACATAACCCGTTTCATCCATGATCACATCCAGAAACCCTCTGGGAAATGTTAAAGATCAGCAGAAATCTCTTTATTAACTGATATATACCTTAAAAAGAGAAAAGAGAAAAGGCTGTGATGCCTCGAGCACCCTGTACTGTTCCTGATGGGATAGAAAAGGGCAGGGAGCTCGGTATGTACCTACTTGTAGTTGCAGGGTTCGGCCCCATAGAGACACGCCAGGATCATGTCTTCTGCCTGGTAGCCCATCCTGATTCTCTCTTGCAGCGGGACCTTGGAGAGGATGCTGGTGGACTGCAGGATGTACCACTCGGTCACCGCCTGCGCCGCGCTGGTGAAGTTCCTGTAGGTGCAGTTGTCGGAGCCCTGATGGCTGCACTGGGGACACACAGCAGGTGGGTCTGAGCCCGTCCTGTGGGGGGGGACCACAGGAGGGACATACGGTGTGCACCCCCTCTCCCCCTGTGGGCTCGGCTTGGTGCCAGCCCTGCCTGCTGCTCCCGGGGGAATGAAGGAGGTAGGGCCAGATGGGACCTGCAGAGCCAGCTGTCACATCTGGATGTGCTTGCAGATGGGTCCCTCTCCAGGGAGATTTCCCAGCTGGGCAGATTTTCCATCGGTCCTTAAGCTTACAGAAAATGCCACTTTTTGGCCAATTCTTTAAGGCTGGAGTTGCCCCAGCTTCCAAGGTCTGCTCAGGCAGGGTCTTTGAAGCCTCTGTGTGGGGTTATGAGACCACCACGTGCCTCTGCACTGAGGACCATGACAGGAAAGGGGCAGGGGCAGCAGCCACAGTCTCTCCTCAGAATTTTGGGTGCTGGACCCAAGGAAAAGGTGAAGGGGACAAGGAGCCTGTGTGGAGCACCTCTGCCCTGGCTGCGTTGGAGAACCCCAGAGGATGTACAGCATTGTCCTCTGCTCTGCGGGCAGACTCCACTGACCAACGCTGTACACAGCTTGGTTACTGCCCACTGCCACACAGTGTTTCCAGCATCTCTCTCAGCAGAGGCTGGTGGACCTGCTGGCAGGATCTGCTTGTTCCCCTGATACAGTGCTGGGCTGCTACACCTTGTCAGTCCCTTTTTCCATGAGGCACCTGCTGACCATACTGATATTGTGCAGCTCCCTAAAATTCATCACAGTCTAACTTAACAAGCCTCCTTGCTGGGTTTCCTTTCATTTAGGGAAGTATATTTAGGGTATGAACCTGCTGCAGGCCCCATATGTAGAAATCCAGCAGCTTCAGCTGGGTGTCTGGCTGTGTGTTCTGCAGGGGATCAGACGCCCCTCTGAATTTTAAAAGATCTTAAAATACTTCTGTGTTCCTTGCTCAAAAGACAAAGCAAACAGCTCTGTAGCACTGAAATAACACGCCATTAACTTGTGAACTGCCCATGGGCTCCATCTGCCCTGTACCAAGCACCGGTGCAGCCGGACCAGAGCCCTGAGGCAGAGGGACCATGGGCAGCTGGTGGGGAAGATCTCCACGGAGCATCCCTGCTGGAGCATCCCACACTGCCCATCCCTCACCCATCACCAACTGCCTCCCGCAGGACCCCTCTCACCAGCTTCACACGCCATTAACTTGTGAACTGTCCGTGGGCTCCATCTGCCCTGTACCGAGCACCGGTGCAGCCGGACCAGAGCCCTGAGGCAGAGGGACCATGGGCAGCTGGTGGGGAAGAGACACCAATCTCCACGGCGCATACCTGTTGGAGCATCCCACACCGCCCATCCCTCACCCGTCACCAACTGCCTCCCGCAGGACCCCTCTCACCAGCTTCACTGCCAGCTTGTACTTCTTTTCTTCTGACGTCGCGTTGGCCGGGGCAGATGGAGGAGCCGTTTGGTTGCCCGCAGTGGTCTCGTTGCCCACAGCTGTTTCATTGCCCACAGCGGTTTGGTTGCCCGCAATGGTTTGGTTGCCCACAGTGGTTTCATTGCCTGTAGTGGTTTGGTTGCCAGCAATGGTTTGGTTGCCTTCAGGGCTTTTTTTGCTCTCAAAGATGTCCAAGATGATGGGGTTGTCTTTGTCGTGCTCATCGATGAGGACTAGGGGTATCTGGTGCCAGAGCTCCAAGTCGAGTGGTGGGGAGATGTTCTCGCTGCTGTTCCCCTGTGTGGGCTGCAGGATCCTCTCCAGCGCCGCTTCAATGAGCCTGTCCAGTTCTTTCAGCAGATGCTTCACCTTTGAGTATCTGCAGGACAAAGAGCAGTTACCAGGTGGTGTCAAGGCGGTGGGGATACGCAGAAGCTCGTCTGCCGCTCCACTGGCCTGGACCTTCCTGGGCACCTTGGACTGCTGCCTAAAGATGTACTGGAGAACGACAGGAGCCTCCATGCAGAGCACAGCCAGCTCAGGCATGGGCTTCCCAGTAGTCTCCAACGGGGTGGAAAACCAGCAGGAGGACAAACAGAGAGTGCTGTGGTGGTGAACAACGTTCTGTCAGTCAGAACCCAATTGGTTGTACTTCAGTAATTCACTGTAGTTTATGCCAAACAGCTGCAGCAAGCAGAGAGAAAAAGAACCAGATGTGCTGGTCGAGAGCATCTTGCCTTGAGCTACACTATTGCATGGATATTTGGAATATCCATGGCTACAATACTGCGTGGAAATTTGAAGCAACTCTAACACAAATCAGTCACTCCTCTGAAATTACAATCGAGTTATATCTCCTGTGTGCTGGTCGAGAGCATCTTGCCTTGGGCTACACTATTGCATGGATATTTGGAATATCCATGGCTACAATACTGCGTGGAAATTTGAAGCAACTCTAACACAAATCAGTCACTCCTCTGAAATTACAATCGAGTTATATCACCACAGCTCCCAGCAGATCCCACTGTTTAACCAGCTCTTAATGGCCAGAGTGTGGGCGATAAGAGGTGCGTTCACAGCGAGGAAGGAGGAAGAAAGGGATTGTGGGGAAAGATCAAGGGACTGATTTTCGTAGTGACAAGCGAGCTGAACTTCGAGTTTTCCCTGAGCCAGGGAGAGTTTGCAGGGAGGCAATAACCATCATTAGATTAACTGATACAGTAAGGAAAACCAGGCAAACTCACAGTCACATGAACCCTCCTCTGGACCTGAGCCGTTCACCCTCATTTTGTTCTCCTTTATTTGGTTTTCAGTGCCACTTTGTGAGTCAAAGGATCATTTTTATTGATGTTCCCAATGTGATATCTGAGACAGGAACGGACCCGCACTACCTTATGCCAGCAATATCCCTGAGGGTGTTAACGCACGACTGGGTAAATCAGGCAAAGAAAAACTTACTTGAAAGGGTTGGCATTGCAGACCGTGACTGCCGGGAACTTCATGGTCTTAAAGCCAATGGAGAGAGATGACGTGACGTTATAGGAGAGGTAGGTGTTGATGAGGATACCCCACTGCCAGAAGACCAGAGATGCGAAGAGCAACGTTAGGAAGAACCAGATTAATTTCTTTTTCGGCCCCTCTTTGATGATGCGCTTCGGGCCGTGGGTGTTGGTGTTGTCGCAGTACCAGACCAGCAACTCCTTGTAGGTGTAGCCAGGGCCCTTCTGCAGGCGGTGCAGAGCCCGAATGAAGTACTTCTTCAGGTTCATGCTGCTGCCTGCAGGTGGGAGAAAAGACGTCAAACATTTTGAGAGGCGGTGTTTGTATTACGTCCCGTGCACTTGTATCATCAGCAAAGCAAAGCTGGAGTAGTTATGTGATGGTACCACCATGGTTTAGTAAGCCAGGAGAAACTCAGAGCAGATGTTCTGAAGGGTCACACTGTGGCAGTGGAAGGACATGGAGGCCCTCACCTCCTGAGAGAGTACCAGGGAGAGGTTTGTGCTTTGCAGTTCCAACAGTGGTAGATGTTTTCATCACATCCCTTCTGGGGTCTGTTCTGGCCTCATGCGAATTAAGTGACATGGACCTGCTGGATGTGGCTGTGCCTTCAGTGTCATACTGAGGACTGCCACCCGGGCCCTGCAGATGTTTCAGTAAACAACAAGACAACTTTTTAGGAAGTTAGTGTTTTGTGTGCAAGCTGGTATATCTCTAACATCATCTGAAACCTTTGCCAACACTAGATGGACCAAGCAGTACACACACGAGCTGGTTTCAGGCAGAATTCAGGCTAACAGTGTTTAGGTTTCAAGCTAATACTGGGCTTAAGACAATTTTTCTTAAAAATAAGAAGTATTACAGTGCGCCAGGCTATCAGAGAGGGCAGAAGAAGTGGACCTGGGACCAGCAGCACCTTTCCCAGGACCAGGAATGCTGCTCGGTGCTGCTGCTCTCCAGGGGAAGGAAAACGGATTGTTGTTTTTTTTCACCAAATTCCTTTGTCTTTCAGATACTATCGGTATGCTTCCACGGCACATGTGAGGGATGCTGCATATTTTACATTCATATTGTGAGTAAATAGAACATTTTGTGCTGCTATTTTAAGGTGAGAATTTGTGTTACTAAATCTTAATATCCTGAGGCAGAATTTCAAAACAAACCCGAGTCGGCTGCTTGGAACATTTTTCAGATTTAAGCTGCAGGAGAACAGAATTAAAGATTAATGCTGCGTGTAACTCAGCATCCTAGAAGAAAGAGTGCTGAAATAATGCAGCGATATTTCAATAATGAGCCGTACTCAGCAATGCAGAAACTAGATTAACATGGAATTACTCGTAGATCGACTACCGAAGGTACAAAAGGAAGCTGAAGGGTGTGCACAGACCTCTTGGGGAGTGGGAGCAACTGTGTCCTTCTTATTTTTCAAAAAATAATTTAAAAGACCCAAAAACCTAATACCAGTTCATTGATTTATTGGCCACATCTGCAAAATCTCCTCAGTAGTATATACAGTTTGATAAAAACATAAAAAAAATAGATTTTGTGATGCCTCACTCCATGACACAAAGAGAGACGGTGATTTTCATTGCACACCCTATTGCATGTGATGTCAGATGCAGCCTAACACCATGAGGTCTCCATGGGAGAGTGCTTTGGAAAGAAGAAATTCCAGATCCGAGGGCAGGCTCTACTCTTGGGTAAAAGCCTTTTGTTCTCCAAGGAACGTGTTTCCTGGGACTTGGACCTCAAGAACCTTATGGCCCTCCCAGACCCCTGACCCACCAGCTCATCGTTGGCTCATCCTCCGTGAGCTCATGCCACGGAGTTTCCCACGCCCAGCTGCCTGCAGAAGGATTTATTCACAGGAGCAGCTTACATTGCATCAGATGCTCACTGCCTTTTGGGCAGGACTACAGTGAAATCAGGAGGAGCACTCTTAGCCTCTGCTTAGTTACCTGTGGCTGAAGGGAAGACGTGAAACACACACACCCCACCATTCTGCCTGAGCCTTCTGCTGCCGGGTGTGAACACAAACCCATCTCAAGGCACAGCCCCAGGACAGTGTCGGCAAAATACATGTAAGTCCTGAGAGACCAGCAAGGCAAACTAGTAAATATTTTCTGCCTTTAAAGAAATCCAATAAAAGATTTAGATTAGATTAAAATTTAAAACACACCTACACTGCACTGGGCAAAATCCAGCCCGGCTGGACCTGACTGGCCACATGCCCTGCAGCCTCTGTTTGCTCGGCTGCTGATGGACCTCACCAGCCAAGCATGGAGCGTGGGCTCCTACTGAGAGGCTGAGACCTGCCATGGGGGGATCCCAGTTTGTCCTATAGATCTGTGTGGGCTGCTCATCAACCTGACGTTGCTGGAAGAAGTTATTGTTTCTTTTTAAATTGTTTCCTGAGGCTGAATTTTAGCTTTTATTTTCCCTGATGGCAACGATGAGACTCACACCTGTAGGTTGAGGAGCACACGGGGAGTAAAAGCGTTGCTCTCATATCCATACATAGGGGTAAAGATAAAGACACTGAATGGCTAATTTTGAGGCTGCTTTTTCTTTGTTCACAGCTTTGCAGGAGTCATCGACACACTTGTTCTCCACCTTGAATTCATTTCCATTTAACCACCTAACCTGAGAGTGCTCTTTGCAAAGTCACAGTGTGACTGCCAGCGGTAACAAGGGGAAGATGCTGTGCTTGGAAAGGAAAACCAGCTCCAAGTCACTTTTAAGAAAAGATTGGAGTGCCTTCTAGCTCGCTTTATCTCTTCACCTCAACAACCGTAAAAGCACCGTGTTAAAGCGCAGCATTTTCACATTTTTAAGTTAGATTCAGGCCACACTGTGGAAAATAAGGCTAAACTAGTTTTTAGATATGTTTTAAACTGATTCAGAATGTTTTTTCCCCAATGTCAAAGCTACTGGATCTGTTCTTTGCAAGCACTGCTGTGTCCCATGTCCCCACGGGACACCCGCCAGCAGGAGCACAGGCACGGGGGCAGGGATGGGGACAGGGTCAGCTGGAAGAGCATCCTCAGGCAGGGTGCCTGCAGAATCCCCACCCTGCCGTGAAAACACACAGATCCCAAAATTAAGAAACCAAGCTAGCAAAGGTGTGCTGGCAATACAGCCAAGCAGACAGTCACAGGTCTCGCAGGGGACATCTTAACGCGGCAGCAGGGTGAGGGACTCAGGTTTACTCTTCCTTTAGGCATAAGCTGTGCTTTTAAACAGGTCATTTTATAAAATAAATGACATTAAGTAAAAGCTGCGCTTGGCCATAGTTGGATGACTTTTTTGCAATCTTTTTTCATCAGTTTCATATTTTTCTTCTTACCTTTATTCCCAGAGCGTTTCCAAACAGACTTTTTGTTTCTTTCTCACTGCTGAAAGCCACTCTGTGTGAGGTGCCTTGCCCAGTCGGAAGACAAAACCCCTGTTATGGAGGGGCTGCAGAGGCTCAGTGCTTGGATGCTGTAGCTATTCGGAGGGGATTTGGTACCAGTTTTGGAGCCTGTCCTGCTCTCCCCCATCAACGGGCTGTACCTGGAAGAAAGAAGAGACAAATGAGGGATGACAAGACCCACCCTTCATCAGTACAGAGACAACCATCACCCCTTCCCAAAACCCTCTCCAGAGAAAGAGAGCGGAGTCTGTGGTGGGACAGGAGCTGAGGAGGGGATCAGGGCTGGGGGCTCAGAAGGTGCTTCCCCCTTGATGGACAGACAGCCCAGCTCCTGCTGGTCCGTGGCATGCAGGGCAGTCTCAGGGTTACAAAAACCCATCCCTGCTGCCACAGCGTGTGATGCTCGAGGGCCTGGACATTTGGCAGCTCCCAGCTGCCGCTCACTGGTTTTATTTCTTGTTTGGCTGCTCCACTTCCAAGGCCCCGGCCAGGGAAGGGGCACACGTGCCCGTTAGGCTCCCTCACTCCTCTTTTTCCTTTGCATTTTTCATTGTTGCACTGCTCTGTTTGCAGAACTGGTCTTTGCCATGCAGATAAGAACTGACTTTGTCTCCTTTGCAGATGGTCCCAGGGAACCACCACTGCTTCCTTTGCCACCTCCCCACTGCTGTGCTTTGCTCTGGGCTGCCCCTCGTCCGCACAGTGGTGTCATCTAAAACGACTGTCAGGAGCCGATTCTAGGGACACGAGACCCCTGGGGTGCACAGGGTGCCACGTACCCCCCTCCCGGCAGTACTCGCATCCCAGTGGTGACCAAAGCAGTCCTAAAAGCAACCTGCTCCTGGTTCTAACGTGGTTTGCATTGTGCTGCGAAGGAGGTTGTCCTCACCTTCCCCCAGCAGCCAGGAGTTCAGCCCTGCATCATCCCAGCATCATCCCAGGTGAAACTCCTCCACCTCACAGGTGAGATCAGACTCCCACGTTACGAAATGATCGTGTTGACTGTGTTGAATCTCCTCTGGGGTTTTCCTAGGGCAATTGCCACTTAAAAGAAATAAAGACCTATGCAAAACTCAGCACACTTCTGGAAGCTCCAGGGTGGTACGTCAGCTGCAAAACCACTCCAGCACTACTGGGTGTGATACTGCAGTTACTCAGTACTTTCTCTACTGGGACACACAACAGTCACTCCTCTTTGATCACATGCTGCTCATCTGCCACCTCCTCCAGCACCTGATGATTTGGTTTTCCTAGAGAAGACATTCATGCTATGTTGCGGTATTTTTGCAAATTGGAGGAAATGTTTTTATTAACGTCACCGGTTTACAGTTGAAAAAGAAGCGGAGCAGTAACGTGTCGGTGGGCAATGAAAGCCCTTCCCGAGCCCGGGGTCACAGGGTGCCCAGCAGATGCTTTGCTTTGCTGTTGTGTGTGACAAGAGAGCGGCGGCCACTCGCAGCCACCGGCTCAGACACCCGTGGCCACCCCAAACCAGGCAGGCGCCTCCGGGTCTCTACTCCCGACAGGCACGTGTAGGGCACTCAGAGAGTATTTACAGTCTGGAAGTTTAGATAGCACTTGCCTGACTCTGTGCTGTATGTTAGATGCTCCATCCCTTCTTCCCCTGCCTGTGTCTCCCGTGGTGTTCCTGTCTCTCAGGATGATGACAAGCCTGACTCCCTCATGTGCCAATAAAGTCACATTGCTGAGAGTTAACTCTGCAGCTTGTGGAATGAACAACGTGAATCCTGGACCAAAAGAGGACTAAAACCCCCCAGCAGCTCCCTCCCTACCCACAGATCTCTTATTCTGCAGTAAGGCCCGTGTCCCGGAGAGGGAGCATCCTCTGCCCTCCCCCGGGAGGCAGCAGCCTGGGGTGGATGCCGCATTTCCCACAAATCTTCAGCAAGCCGCGGTTTGCTTCCACACCTTTTAGCAGGGAGATTAAAGAAAACCCTGTGTAAACAGAGGTTAAATAAGAACAGCTACACCGGGCTGCACGCAGAATACCTGACTGGCCCGAAAACCTGCACCGCTGTTGCAAAAGCAAGCAGAGATCGGATGACTCCAGCTCTGTATCAGTGCAGAAAGGCACCATGACCCAGCTGAAGTTTTACATTCCAGTTCTCCCCCTCCAAAATAATAATAATAATAAAAAAATACGTGTCGGCAAAGGACTTCCCTTATTTTTCTCCCTCTATAAACATGGCTTAAAAACGCATCCGCCAGGGCAAAAAGCAGGGGGAAAAGAAACTGTAATAATATTTAAATGGTGGCATTTTGTCTAACTCACACAGGTCCTGCCCCACCGAGCCGGTCCCTTCGGGCGGATGCCCGCGGGCATCCCTCCGGCGGCCGCTCGGGGCCGAAGGGACCGACGGACCCTGAGCCTCGGAGCCGAAGGGACTGATCGGCCGCGACCCCTCTCCCCCTCCCCGGGGTTCGCCCCCGGTCCCCCCGGTTCCCCCGTACCTGCCTCCGGCGCCGCTCCGGCAGCGCTCCCCGCCGAGAGCGGGACCGGCCCCGCCGCCTCCCCCGCCCCGGTCCCGCCCCATCCCGCCCCTTGTCATTGCAAGACGGTGCATCCAAACCCTCCCTCCCTTCGCCTGGAGTCGCTCCCACTTGGGTCGGGGCTCGTCCACCTTTCCGCTGAAGTTTTGCTTTGATTTTCCCCCAGCAATTTTAATTTTCTCCTAATGGCCCCCCCACCCCACCTAAAGAATTGCAGCCGCTTCTGCTGCTCCTATCCTGGTCCTACAAAGACCGTGGGACACAGGAGGCGTGGGGTTACAGCAGCACAAATCTCCCCGTGAGATCTCCTCCATCCCACTGCTAGGAGATGAGCACCTGTTCTTGGGATTTCTAATTTTTTTTTTCTCCCAAAAAAAGGAAAGTCCTATTAGAATGGCAGAGAGGAGGAAAGGAGCGCTTGGGTCATAGCTGGGATGTGGCAGTCACTTGGAAGGTGCAGGGAGACTTTCCCAGCAGGACCAGGTCTTGTGGCCACTGCCCTGAGCCCTGAGCTGTGGCAGCTTGCTGTGTGCTTCTCAGTCTGGATTGAAATGCCCCAGGACATCACGTCCCTGCTCTGGCTTCCCTCGTGCCAACCATCACCCTTGACAGGCCTTGGACACAGGCGAAATAACTGCAGGTGAACTGCACTAGTATTTTGAAACGGTTTTGTCATCCTTCTTTTTAAAAGATTTTATATTTTTGTAGAGATTTTTTTTTTTTCCCAGGAGGAAAGGAGCGCTTGGGTCGTAGCTGGGATGTGGACAGTTGCTTGGAAGATGCAGGGAGACTTTTCCAGCGGGACCAGGTCTTGTGGCCACTGCCCTGAGCCCTGTGCTGAGGCAGCTTGCTGTGTGCTTCTCAGTCTGGATTGAAATGCCCCAGGACATCACGTCCCTGCTCTGGCTTCCCTCGTGCCAACCATCACCCTTGACAGGCCTTGGACACGGGTGAAATAACTGCAGGTGAACTGCACTAGTATTTTGAAACGGTTTTGTCATCCTTCTTTTTAAAAGATTTTATATTTTTGTAGAGATTTTTTTTTTTTCCTAAAAAAAAGTCCCCCAGAGCAGCTGTGTTTACTATCAAGACTGCTGCTGGGCACGTTTTCCTGGCGGTGTTTTGTACACCGTGTGTCTTTCAAGTGTGGACTATAGAAGATGTTGATGCTTAAATAGAAAGGGTAAAACTCTGCCTCGGTGGCAGTGGCAGCATGAACCTGAAAGGTGACGATCTCTCCCCAAGAAAAATGAGCTCTGCTTCCATAAAACTATGAGGGAATTAAAGGACTAAGCAGCTCTTCTACTTGCTTCTGAGGATGGGATGCGAGTGGCTCAGATGGAGCTGGGTGCCCTCACAAACAGCCCCGTAGCCTGATTGTCTGTGATTTTCACAGTGGTTAGCATGCCCTAAGTCATTTTATGACTTAATCTCAGTCTTGTGTGTCTTGCACACTGATTCGTGTTGATCACATAATTATCCCACAGGATAATATCTCCAGGGCTGGAGAGATGCCCACCACCACCCCAATTTTCTGTATTTTCCTAGACTGGGGCCAGCGCACCGCACGCCTGCTGTGGGGTGGGATCCCTGAACCCAACACTACTGTACAAACACGGTTTACAGGCAACACCTTGAGCATCTTGAGTGACTGTGGGAGACGTTAAACTCCTCACAACAGAACAGTAAACATGTATAAACCTCCTTGGAACTATAAATCACCGCAGAGCAGCAAAGCATTGTAAAAGGTAACGATTGCCTCTTACTAGGAACAGTAATCACAAGTTCAATCAGGACTTAGTCAGACTTTCCCAAATGTCCCCGTGTTTCGGTGTTTGGGAACAAAAGGGATTTTTATTTTTAAATTGCACAAGTGTACCTCCTGCCATTATGTCAGAAGTGGAATGCGGGATTGCGTTTAAAGAGTATTTCCAAGTGAAGCTAGAATGAACAGGTTTGATGGAGAGTACCAGGACTTACCCAGTTTCTAACCTCTGTCCTGTCAAAATAATTGCCCTCCTATCGCTACTTATTTCCCCGGAGAACAATGTCTGTTACCAGCAGCTCTGACACTGAAAATAGAGCAGGCTGCACTTGTTCAGTGGTTGGAAACATCGGCTGTGGAGCCGGGGAAGCCAAATGACCTTGAGTTTGGCTTGACTTTGCCTTGTCTCTCTCACTTGCTTCATGAGAAAGTTTATTTCGTAAGCAAAAACCTCCTGCTAAAAATACAGCTGAAAAACACTGGGGAAAGCTCTTCTGCACCCCAGGCATTGTGTTCCTAGTGAGGGTATTGTGCTGGCGTGATGCACCACTGACAGTGGCTAAACACAGCTGAGAAATTGGATACATGGGGCAAATCCACCCAGAAAATGGCACCACCCGACTGATTTGTAGTGTTTGGAAAATATCAACCAGTCCTAAATTAACCTGGTATAATGAAAATATTTTAGTGGTGCCTGGAGTGGATACAAAGAAGGCTGAAGAGGTTTCTGGGTTGGTTTTTAGGTGAGGACAAGTGGAGGAGCTTGTGCCGGAGCCTGACGTGGAGTCCCAAGGACAGTTCTGAGGGGAGGAAGTCACCCCCAAATTACAACCCCGTTGGTGGGACTGCATTCAGGTCACTGGAAAAAAACATATGACTGCTTGTGTGTCAATCTGCATTGGTTTTGGCCCAGTTTTGCCCTTTGGCATGGTGGGTGGGCAAGGTCCTGGTGGAAGGCCCTAGTCTGGCACAGCCATGGTGGTGGCCATCAGACCTGAGGTCCCTCCTCGGTGCTCAGGGACTTCATGAGGATTTGGGAAGGTTCTTGGGGCTCCAGAAATGGGAGCTGGGCCACGGATTTGCTGTCCCACATTTCCTGCCTGGCCTCTGGTGCCAGGGGACGGGTGGCCAGCCAGCCTGCTTCTGGCTGACGACAGGCACCGCCAGCGCGCACTCACCCGCTAATTAGATTGCCATTTAGCAGGAGCTGCAAGATGTACGTGCTAAATATTAGTCACGTCTGCAGCCTGGCTTCCAGTCGGACGGCTCTGGGGTTTGCTGGTTGCCCTGCTGAGAGGGAGGAGCCCGCTGGTCCCCATGGCCATCACCCACCCCGGGCTGGTGGCCGGGGCTGCAGACCCAGAAGAGGGGAGGCTGCTCCTGCTCCATCACCCGTTCCTGTGCGAGGTGAAAACAGGTTGATGCAGCACTTTAATGGCCGGGTTTATCGGCTGCACTTTCAGAGACACGGTGTCACTAAACAAAATAGAGTAATTTAGTTGTGGCCAGTAAAATCACAGTCAAACGATAGTGAGCATCTCACCAGCCAACCTACACCGGTAACCGCTGCGTATAAAACCTTTTTAACTGACCTCTGTTTGCGTTACAAAGATCAGGCAGTAAAATCCAGACTGGTTTTGTTTTACAAGCAGCAGAAGAGGGGAGGGAAGTGGCCCCCCATGGGCCTGGCTCCCACGGCGTGGCTAGTAGGAGCAGGGCTTGGTCCACGCCGTGGGTGATGCCTCTGGGGCGCGGGTACCATCTCTCTGTGCCATTCTGGGAGCCACGCTGTCAGGTCCAGAATGGGAGGGATGGGGCAAACCCCATCTCAGGCACAGCTCCCTTCAGCCTGAGCGTTAATGACATTGATCATCTCATCGTTGCCGTGGGTGATGCCTCTGGGGCACGGGTACCATCGCTCCGTGCCATTCTGGGAGCCACGCTGTCAGGTCCAGAATGGGAGGGATGGGGCAAACCCCATCTCAGGCACAGCTCCCTTCAGCCTGAGCGTTAATGACATTGATCATCTCATCGTGTCCCGACTCCTCCTGACGAGGAACCACGGCAGGCAGTGGTGTGTCATCGGTGGGGTTTCCCCAGGCCTGCTCCATAACTAATTGGTGTGACAGGGAATTAGTTGCACTCATTTGCCTTTTATGCTGTAGAAGTTTACTGGGAGGAATAACCAGCCTGCCATCACTCCAGTGCCTAAAGATGCTGTAGTGGTGGGTGGGCTGAGATCCTGAGGATGCCACATCATCCCAGTACAGGTCAGCAAGTGCCAGCGTGGCGCCGGCTGGGACGGACCACTGTAAAGATCCCCATGGGCTGGTGCTTTATGGTCCTCTCCCATGTTCTGGGGGAAATGTGAAATATTTTCTGACCAATGACTTTTTATAACAAGAACAAGAGCAGGGATGATTACCCTTTGCGATTATCCAGGGGAACAGGTTGTACCTTTCAGGATTCGTTATGTAAACTTGGGTGAGAAGGTCTTAAAACACAAGGGAGGAAGGTGCTGCAGCAAGAGGCGTTGTGAAAACAGGGTGATTCACCGTGGCTGGGGCCAGGACCTGCCTTCAGCCACGCTTCACGGACCACTGTAAAGAGCCCCATGGGCTGGTGCTTTATGGTCCTCTCCCATGTTCTGGGGGAAATGTGAAATATTTTCTGACCAATGACTTTTTATAACAAGAACAAGAGCAGGGATGATTACCCTTTGCGATTATCCAGGGGAACAGGTTGTACCTTTCAGGATTCGTTATGTAAACTTGGGTGAGAAGGTCTTAAAACACAAGGGAGGAAGGTGCTGCAGCAAGAGGCGTTGTGAAAACAGGGTGATTCACCGTGGCTGGGGCCAGGACCTGCCTTCAGCCACGCTTCGCCATGATTGCATCTTCCCTGGGACTGTGGCACATTTTAAGTTGCAGGTGAATAAATCTAGTGAACACTCATGTTTTTCCAACTCTAAAAATATATTTGGACAAAGTAGAAGGTGGAAGGTGGCAGAGGCCATCCCATATCAGCATGCTGGATGGGGCCAGGCTTTGGTTTGCTCTCAGGTGGGCAGGAGGCAGGCAGGTTGGGGATGACACTGATTGGTGTCACTTGGCCTGGCAGGGGCTTTGCTGGTGAGTGTCCCCCTCCTGTGCTTCGTATCCTGCTGCTTTTGGGAATGTCAGGGTGAAAATGCCAACTGCGGTGGCTCAGGGCATGGCACCTGGGGGGATGTGGCACCCTGGGGAGATGCGGTACCTT